GTTTTGTTATAGAATTCTGTTTTGCAGCACTAACTCATTACATTTAACGAAACATTTATATTATTTGTTCAAAAGCGAAATGTGACACTTCGTTAACTAATAAAATAAGAGGCTAATCATATTATAGTAATTATGTAATTAGTGAAATAGGCCGGTTTGTAAAACAGAGAGTAGTCAGTTGCTGACATTTGTGTCTTTACAGGTGACAACATGAACACATTTCTCAATGAAAACTGGCGTCTCGTCATTGATGACCTTGGCAAGCCTATGTCCCACGCCTTAGGCAGCATAGTGCACAGAATTCTTTTGAACGTTTCCAAGAAAATTCCATTCAAAGAACTGTTTGCCGAATGAGTCAGAACCGTTAACTGCATGTTTTAGAAGTTATATGTTACATTCGAACGTATATTCTCCATTATAACCGTTCCAGCTTTTCGAACCGGATTACTCTGCTTCTCAGTGTATTCGACCCAAGGGTCGCTTGATCGAAAAGAGATCATAGAGGCAGATAATTAGTTCTGAAGTCTATAAGTCCGTCCAGTACAACAGTTTCTTCCAGACTCTCTGTCAAAAATAGACCTTCTGATATGTAGTTATACAGAATTAAAATATTTTCTAATAAAGAATACAAATCATGTGTAGCAAAACTTCTCTTTCACTGGCGTCTACTTTATTAAATCATTTCATAGAGAATGAATAGCCTTGCCTCTAGGCTGTACACCTGCATTCACACAAAACTCAACACCTGTGTCAATCTCAACTCGTATGAACCATGTCTACTCTCTTAAAAGGCAACTCCACAATACTAAAATTGAGAAAACAATATCATGACCCACCCACGCGGCCTTCGTTCAAAAGAATAAATAAAGTACAAAAACACTTTGAAAGAATGTAACATTTGGGATTTGTGAAACTCATTAATCTTGCAAGTCATAGATGGCAAACAGATGCCAGACATCACCAATAACAGAATCCAGAAATCAGGAACTACCACATGGCACAAGTCATGAATGTCTAACTATTATAAAATACCAACAATAGAAGTGGAGTGAGCGCACGGACATCAAAGCAAAGTTTGCCCCGTTACAACATAAGTATGTTAGGTTTTCAATCAGGTACAATTACTTTATGACTGTGTCCATATTTAACAATATCACATTTCCTATTACAAAATTCAAATACGCTGGTGTTAATGCGGACCGTCTATTAGAATACAACTGACTTTATACAGAACAAAATTTATGGTTGACTAGAGTTTGAAGTTCCTTGAACTGAATCCTTTACTTGAAACAACATATAGAAGTTTTTATATTATTTTAATATGTGTATTCCTATTTCCTCATGTTGTTGCTAAGCTAAGTATTCTTAGATTGTTATTTAACAGCTGAAGTAAGTGTGTGTGTTCGTACATGCATGAACGTTTGTGTGTATCTACTAAAAACCCTAGTTATTCCTCTCATTGACACATTTTGTCTGTAATATGGAAGAAATGCGTTACAACATATGGCGAGTGGATGACGTCATTTTACAATGTGAAATTCGAGCAACTACGAACTAGAACATACTTATAACTATGACAGCATATAGGAATTTAATTAGGGAATTCCAATTCAACTGCGGAACGTCTTTCAAGCTAATACAGGGAATGAATCCATGGGATCCTCTTTTTAACTGAAATCAAAACGAATATTTTGAACAGGAACAAGTGAGCTGATAAAGAGTGGGAAAGGGGGAGAGATAATGCAGAACAAGAACGAGTCTAGACAACAAGAGCAATGAAGAAAGCACGAAGTGGAAGACATAACAGAATGAAGAACATCATACTGTCAATTTACGGTGGAAAATTGACACGATATACTACAGGAAGTACAGCATATGTGATACGAACTATTATTTAAATGAATGTGGTCTTTTGGCTGAGACTTATAATAAGATTAATAATGAAGAAGCGAATCCGGATTGCTTTATGAAAAATGTCTAGTCACTTAATAATTTAGAGAGTTAGATAATCTTTTTATATAGGCATTTCCGTAGGCACTTATTTGGGAGGGTACACAGGTATGTAGAGAAGAATATACATTCTTCGGAAGGAAGTGGCCCTTTAAAATATCTCTGAAGCAAGAAATCCTTACATGAAAAATATATTCAAGTCACTTAAGGAGCAATAATTTCAGAAAACAGTAATGTTTTTGCAGTTACGGTAGCTAGCTCTTAAGCGTCATATTTCGTTCTTAAATTCCCAGTCAATGATTAATGTAATGATCTAAGTGCACCACATGGAAATTCAGTCTTGTAATAACGGTGGGAAGAAAACACATACATGGCTTTGGGTGTTTTGATTTAGCATTCTGTTCTGCAGTATTAACTCATTTTATTTAACGAAAGATTTATATTACTTGTTCAAATGCGAAATGAGGCACTTCGCTAACAAATAAAATAAAGGGCTAATCATATTATAACAATTATATGATAAGTGAAATACGTTTGCTTGTTGTTATAGAGAAAATTAAGTTGCTGACAGTTGTGTTTTTACAGGTGATAACATGAACACATTTCTAAACGAAAACTGGCGTCTCGTCATTGATGAAATTGGCAAGCCTGTGTTCCAGAACTTAGGCACCATAGTACACAGAATTCTTTCGAACGTCTCCAAGAAGATTCCATTCAATGAACTGTTTGCCGAATGAGTCAGACCAGCCAACTACATGTTTTATAAGTTATACGTTACATTCGATCTCATATTCTCCAAAATAACCACTCCAGCTTTTCGAACCGGTTTACTCTGCTTCTCAGTGTATTCGACCCAAGGGTCGCTTGATCTAAAACAGATCACAGAGGTAGATAATTGACAAAGGCCTGCTTGTTATACCGCTTACAGGGCATAAGATGTTTCTTACGTTAACTACCACTGCAAACTAAGTAAGAAAGCGTATATAATTCTTCGTTTGGATGTTATCCACGGCCAAAATGTTGTTCAATTACAATCACAGTGTTTCTTTAGTTGGTTCACAAATGTGTCTTCAGATGGTAGGACAACACCGCACTGTGTTGGGTGCCGTGGGGTAGCAAGTCTCAGACATTATCTCCGTGAACAACAAAGTATATTTTGTTTACCCAATCGAAGACAGGCGTAGAACCAACTGGTATGGATTTAATTAAAATACTGACATGGACAAACTAATGCCCACGCGGCCTTCGTTCAAAAGAATAAGTAAAGTACAAAAACACCTTGAAAGAATGTAATAAAACACCTCACTATCGTTATAAGCCGTAAAATATATATATATATGCACATTAGATTGTTCACATATATTTAGATTCAAACCACTATAAGAAACCACCATTACTTATGCATATAAAATCATGCATACAAGCAAAACTCATGTGGATATCCATTCAAAAGTTGGCTGTTTTCTGGGTTTTCAACCGTGTAGTCTGGTAGAAGTTTAACGATGTTTCGGAGGTCTTTGCTGCCTACATCATCGCCGTCTATATAACTAACTAGATGGCTTACTGAAACCAAAGGATCATCACCGAATAACCAAAGCCCTTCACCAGACCCTGTCCTGGGCCCACAAAATCCAGTCTCCTTTAACTCCTATCTCACATAGATCACATATTTAACAATATCACATTTCCTATTAGAGAATTCAAATCCGCTGGTGTTAATGCGACTGACTTTATACAGAACAAAATTTTTCCCAACCAATACCCGGTGCACACCTATCGTCCCATCCATGCGCGTCACAAGCCAGCCCGTCTCATTCTTCGCTTAATCACACTGAAAATATTGGGGGAGGAGTATATAACTAAGCTCATCATTATGCAGTTCTCTTTAACAGCTGAAGTAAGTGTGTGTGTTCGTACATGCCCCATCGTCTTCTCTCCTATGCCCAAACATCTTCCCCAACACCGTATTCTCAAACACCTTTAATCCCTGAGAGTGAGAGACCATGTTTCGCACCCATGCAAAACAATAAGCAAAATTAATGTTTTGTACATTTTAATCTTAAGGTTTGTTACAACATATGGCGAGTGGATGGCGTTATTTTACAATGTGAAATTGGACGGGAAAACAAAATATTTTGAACTGAGAAGTAGCACGCATTTCCGGAATTTAATATCCTTCTAATTTCCTCATGAATATAATTTTAATTTATATCTGTTGTTCCCAAATATTTGAACTTGGTTACACTTTCAAATGATTTATTAGTCAGACTAATATTATTTTGCCCGCTTGTCTGTCAGCGGGATACTAAAACTGAGGGGAGCCCATGGCAGAACGGGGAACTTAATTTTTGAAGGCATGCATTATTATTTAGTGTTCTGTCTGACGACAGGTCCATTGTTCTGCCCAAAAAGTGTTCGCCAGTTTTCCCTATTCTCAGCTTCTCGTTTTAACTCCTGAAACTTCATCTTCTTTCCATGTTTAAGATCGTCAGGGACAAAATTAAAGATAAACACGTGGAGGAACCTTGTGTGGTTTTATTGTCTATTTGAGATTTATAATGAGTTATTAGTTTAGTTCTAAGAGTTACAGTTCTTTAAATATTAAATTCTTTACAAGAATGTAACTTGCCCCATTTTGCTCGGTACGCTGGGCAAGATGGAATATGATTGATATATGTTTGAAAAGTTGTAAGAAGACATAGATTATCTAATAATTTTGAAGTAGGATATAAAAATGTTTTAGTATACAATGTAAAAT